AAATGGCATACAGGTTTATCATATGATTATTTTTCATATTAATTGTTGAATATTTATATTTATTTTATTGGTCATCAATAACAACTTCCCATGCATGACTAATATTTTAATTTTTTTCCCCCAGAAAATAATTAATGAACTTAAATATATTTTCTGTGAGAAAACTGGACTCTATGATAAATTTTTGTCGAACAAATTAATACTATCATGTTTGACATTGTTGAGCCCTAAATGGAAACATATTGCTATTAGTGCCTCTATAATTATAACTATTATCGATAAATGTCCTAATTATTTTAGAGCTTATCCCATGTGGACCATCTAGATGAGATCTAGATAGTCCAGATTTAATTTCTTTGTTTTTAAATAATTATTTTAATAAGTATAGAATCTAAAATAAAAATAATCTCTTAATTATAAAATTTTTAAAAGATAATTTGTGTTATGTAAAGGTAATTAATCAAAAAGATTAAATCTAGATCATTCAGATAATATCTAAATAATTAAAAAGAGATGAGTAAAAAATGAACACCCAAACTGGTTCCCTAAATTATGATATGTTAGGTGAAAAAGTAAATGTATCAATACTAGAATCAGATTTGTATTTATGTAGTTACTTTCTCCCCTTCAAAATTCAAGAAGTACTATTCTAGAAGAAAATTTTAGTAAAAAAATATTAAAAAAATTCATAAAGTAATTAATAATAGTTTTTCACATTTACCCCTTATTAAGGAGGGAGGAGAGAATTTTCCAATCATATTCTTTAATAAAAATAAAATTCAGTCTAGACCATCTAAATCATATCTAAACAGTCTATATGAGATGACTTTTGAGTGCTCATCTTAAAGAGGAGATAAGATGAGCATCCAAACTGGTTTCTCGCATGAGGCTATTCATAGTATAACGGAGGGTAATAATGAGCAGTGAGGCTATTCATCTGATAACGGAGGGTAATAATGAGCAGCCTGATGATTGGTCCGCTTATATCTAAATGTCAGAATACGCTTCCAAGGGAATGGCAAGTGGAAACAGTGCCACGCGGAAGGGAGGATGACTCTGCAGCAGATTTCCTTGCCAAGCCTGATTTGGATAGAACCAGAAAAATGGGCCGAGCTCATCAGGCTAGTCCGTTTAGGCCCTGAAATTATGAGGGTCGGGCTTGATATTTTTCTCTTAAAATGAGAAATAAGCTCTAGAGGGTTGGCCCTGGAGGGCCGAGGGCTTAAAAGGGCCGGCCCTGGAGGGCCGCGAGCCGGCCCTTTTAAGCCCTTTTATAATTTTTTTATTTTTTAAAATTTTTTTATATAATATTAATGTTATTAATTTTTTACATTGTTAATAATATTTCAAATATTTAGTTATTATTATCATTTTAAAATTAAATTTAGTTTTAGACAATAATTTATCCAATTAAATTTTTTAAAAATAGGTTAATTTGGACTTTAATAATGATTTGATTTATATTATATGCGTTGATATTTTTAAACTATATATATATATATTTGATAATAGAATATTTTTATACTTATATAACTTGTGATTCTATAATTTGAATTAGAAATTCATGAGTTTCAACAACAATGTTTCTCACATTAAAGTAAAATAATAGTTAGATTGCAAAATTCAAAAATAAAATTCTTATAAAGAAGAAAAACTTGATATTTTTGTTATGAAAGAAAAGCATATTTATGAAGAAAAGTAATTAATTATAGTGATGATGAAGTTTCAAAAGATTAATGATATTGTTTATTTATTGCACAATTGCATTATAAATAAAACTTTTAGATGTTGTTATCTTGTTAATGAATGTTTTAGATGTTGATAAATATTTATATATGATGATATTTTATATTTGTGACTTAATTTTATTCATATTTATATCTTTTATTAATAATTTCATTGGTTTATTTTTATATTTTTATAAAAAATTTGATAAATATAAAAAAATAGTATTTTTTTCTTAAACGGGCCAAAAGCTCGCGGGCCGGCCCTGGCCCTGTAACTTAAGGGTCGGGCCTAGCAAATTGGGGTATTTTTAAAATTTAGCCTTGGAGGGCCGGCCCTTTTAAGCTCGCCAGCCCTGAAGGGCCGACCCTGATTCCCGGCTCTAGCTTTGGATGGTCCTGCGGGGCTCCAATTTGTTCCAATAAATGCTTCTTCTTTTTTTTGGGAAAGAGAGTCTTAGTGAGTCAGCTCTTGGGAGTTGTCAGGCCAGTACATGCCTACAAACTTGGAAAGATATAATCTGCACTTGTAAGTTATGAGCCGATTTAGTGATCACCAAACCAATTTTTTTGTTTCCTTGTAACTGAGTGGGTAGCTTTTCTTGATTTTCCTTTTATCAAGGGAAAAAAAAATGTTACGACTTTTGAGAAGCATAACATTCTCATAAGTTACATTTTCATTTTTCCACCATCTAAAAGAACTATGAATCCGGGAATGAGCAGTTCTCATTTAAACATTTCACCAAAGTTTGATTATCATATTCAAATTACATAAGCATACTGCTTCCTTTTCGGGAGCTTCCAATTGATTGCTGTCTTCTTCCCAAGGCATGTATTTGTATAGCCTGAATCAGCACCAAGGCTCCGCCATTGGCCTTCCAATATTCTTGCAATTCTCTCTCTCACTCACGCTGCTTCCACAAGTTTATCTGATTGCACAACAATAACGCAGAACATTCGTTGAAACCCCAGAATAGAGACGAGGAAACTTCAGTTGGCAAAAAGAGACTAGAAAATTTCAGCCTTGCACTTTCAGCCAAAAAGAGAAACTCGTTGAAATATTTTATTCATGTCCTCTGGCTTTATATAGCCACTCCACTCATCTACCCTCTCGACCACTCCAAACACTTTACTCTTTCTTATTCAACTACTCCCATAAATTCATCTGAAGAAACAGCATCAAGAGTATCTATTTCACAGTGGATAACTTTTTTAGTACAAAAATAATTTTAGGGTATATAAGAGTAAAAAGAAAACTTTTAGGTGTTAAATACTTTTTTGTGAATATTTTCAAGTTATTTAAACCTTATCCTATGTACAGTACCAAAAAAATTTATTTTTAACATAAGCTAAATATAGTATTTTGCGTTAATGTATACACACACACACTCAAGAAAGGACGAAGGAATTGGAGAAAAATAATAAATTGAATAAAAATATATAGACGGGGACAAGGAAAAGGACGAGGGACCCTGCGGATCTCGGTGGATTCACAGAATTCATTGGCGGAAAGTTGGTGGGGTTTTGAAAAAATAAAATAAAATAATATGTGCTCAAACACCCGCGCACACGAAAGAAGATGAGCTTTGCTTTGGGAGCTGGGACCATGAAAAGACTACGAGAGAGTAAATAAAATATACAAAAAAATTTACCTCTAATAGTAAATATTACATATAGTTAACTAATTTAAATATATTAAAAAAAAATAATTAAGTTAGTTATTTGTAATAAATAAGTATTGTTTTTTCTAAAATATTATTGTTAATCATATGTATGACTAAAGGTATTTTAATATATTTAACTATTACAAAAAATATTTTGAGAAAGTCAAACTAGTTCTTGTATTAGATACGGGAGTTTGTATAAAAAATTTACACTAAGACTCCACCATTGACCTAAAATATTTTCATCAAGACTCCACCATTACCTCCCAATATTATTGCAATTCTCTCTCCCTCTCTTACACTGCTTCCACAAGTTTATCTGAAGAAGTAGTTGGGAAACAATAACGCAGAACATTCGTTGAAACCGGCGAGACTAGGAAAGGAAACTCCAGCGCAATGATTAAAGAACCGGACCGAACCGGACGGTCGGACCGGTTGAACCGTCACCCGGACTCGTTAACGGCTCGGTTTGGACCAAAAAACCGTTCACATAGTTGAGCCGGATTGGACCGGAGTTGAGCCGCTATTAAGCCGGAAACCGGAGTTGGACCGGGAACCGGAACGGTTTTCAGAAAACCGGACGGTTTTTTAGCCTGACTGAAAAAATACTAAAAAATTAAAAAAAATAGAAGAAAAATAAAAAAATTGATCCCCTTAAATATCCTAATATATTTTTAGATTATTTATAACCATAGAGTATTATTTCATTGAAAATTTCATATATTGTGGTGTTAAAATCGTGAGTCGCTAATCTTTTTGTTTCGATATTTGGTCTATCTTTGAAAAAAATATTTTGATTTGAATGAATTGATAATTTGTAATATCATTAAATATTTTAAACATACATAAATTTAAATATATAAGGTTTTAGTCCATTTTCAATGATTTCATTATAATTTTAGATTATTTAAATGCATTTCTAAATTATTTAATAATTTGATATTTTTCATATATACTAATTATATGTATATAATATTGTTTTAAATTAATTATTACGTCACCGGTCCGACCGAACGGTCTAACCGATCCGACCGATTGAACCATGACCCGTTGATCTTTCCGGTTCGACTTCCGGTCCGGCTTTTAAAACATTGCTCTAGCGTCCGCGCTGCACTTTCGGCGAAAAAGAGAAATGCGTGAACCAATTTCGGTGCTCATCTCTTTAATGAGTATTATAAGCTCATCAGATCTGAATCGTATATATTTTATTTGAATGGTCCAGATTTAAAATTTTTAATTAATTATTTTTAAATAGAATAAACTATTTTTTGAAAGAATGATAGTAAAGAGATCATCACTATTTTAAATTCTATACATATTAAAAAATATTTTGAATAAATAAAAATAAAAAAGAAATCAAATCTGAACTATCCAAATAAGATATGAACGGTTCAGATCTGATTAGCTTATGGTACTCATCAAATGTATGAGCATCGAAATTGGTTCCGAAACGTGTACGCAGAAATATTTTATTCATGTTCTCTCTCTTTATATACCCACTCCTCTCATCAACCCTCTCACTCTCAACCACTCCATACGCTTTACTCTTTCCTATTGCTCTCTCTCCCTCACTCATACTACTTCCACAAATTCATTTGAAGAAGTAGCATCAAAGGGTATCTGTTTCACCATTTTACAGGGTTATCCCCACGGCCACTTTTAAGGTACTTATAATATTACGTCCTTACAAAATAAGCTCATATGATCATTTTTTTAATTTTATGCATCATTTTTCGGTTTGTTGGGGGGTTTTCTGTCGTCTTTCTATATATCCATATCGCTGCTGGGAATAACCCATGATTTCTCTTTTTACTTGGTTTTGCTCTTACTTTGGTTTTAGTCAAGCATTTGGACGCTACCTTAAGTTCAAGTTAAAAACTTAAAAGCTGGGGGGCTTGGCAGTCTCAACCGAAAATGTAAATGTTGATTAGAACCGATTATATATATTGCCCCCACCTGGACAATATTTCTGCTAGAAACTTCACAATTTTTGGATCTAAATGCAAAGCAAACCCACAATAATGTTATGAGATTGGCCACAAATATGATGAATCCGGTTTTTGTTCTTTAGTGCTGAATCAACTCCTATATGGTTATTGGTCTCTGAGTACTGAGGCTTTGTTGTTTCTTAAGGTAGATTTTTATTAGATGGTTGATGCACTTTAACCCTTGACAATTGCTCCTTTAGATTTGCGTCTGATCTTAGATGGATAATTTTATGAGCACTTTTGTATGGTTATATCTTATATTCTTCTGCCTAATGTCGTGATATGCGGATAACATCTGATGAGGTATAACTATAGTCACATTGTGGTTTATAGTGTTTCATTTGACAATTACTTATTTGCTTAATAACTACAATATTTCGTAATTTTGTTTTTCTCGATGTGGATAACAAGTTATACGTTTTTTCTCAGATGTGATTTTTTTTAAATTATTATTCAAACAGATTTTTTTTTCGTTTTTTAATTCCCCACAAAACTTATTCTAAAGAACCATTTTATAAAATTGTTTTGAAAAACAAGAAACATAAACAAACATGCCAACGTACATTACTTATTTATAGTAGGAAGAAGCCTAATTTCATCTTTGAATTCTATTCCATCTACTTTTATATATGGTTGTTGGTCAAGGCTGACTTAATTTTACTTGATAATGCTAGCTCCAGCAAGATTGAAGCCACCAAAATCACATAAGTGGAACCTATTTGTGATCTCAACAACCGTACAATTTCAATTGATAGCCATGGAACCTGAATTTCACAAAGCTGCAATGCAAGGTAACATTGATGTCTTTAAAGGAAAGGGCAAGAAAATTAAGTCCATCCTAACCCCCAATAAAAATACAATCCTTCATCTACACTTCACAAACTATACTAACAATGTATCAGAGACATTTGTGAAAGAGGTTCTACGTGAGTGTCCTACGCTTGTTTTAAAGGCCAATGTGAAGGATGAAACCATACTTCATGTAGCAGCAAGGTATGGACATCATCAAATAGTGAAAACATTAGTTGATTTTGCTAAAGCTCTTCCTAAAGATATGGATGAAGTTGGAGCCGAGAAAAGACTCATAAGAGCAGTAAATGATAAGAAAGACACAGCCTTGCATGAAGCAGCTCGTTACGGTCATGTAGAAGTTGTGGACGTCATGATAAATGAAGAGCTAGACCACTCACATTTTGGTAAAAATGTTGGAGACGAAACTCCACTTTATATTGCTGTTGAGAGACGGTATTGGAACGTGGTGGATACAATATTGGATAAAAGTAATTCACCACAATATGATGGTCCTAATGGCAGAACTGCTTTGCATGCTGCAATTCTTCATGGTAGCAAAGGTATTTTATTGCATGATTTTGCCATTTCTCTCTGTTTTTTTATAACTCAGAATATCCTTAGGTCACTTTAAACTTAAGACTAATATTTGTCGAGTTAGGAGCATTAACGTTAAAACCCTCCTAAACAAGTGCGTTTCATAGGATTTAAACTTATGTTTTTCTCCTTATGAGGATGAGACCGCTTACCATCTTAACTAGCAGCTTGTTTGTTGCCATTTCTCTTTTATAGTCATCAAATTTTGATTTGTGTATCTAATATGTCTGATTTCCTAGGAATAATTTTGTTCACTAAAAAAATGAAGCAACAACTCGTATAGACCTTTTGAAATAATTTATCAAAATTGTTGCAGTCACTAAATAATAAATTTACATACAAATTACTAACAAGTTGTTAGTTGAGATGGTAAGCGATCTTATCCCAATAAGGAAGAGAACATGAGTTTGAATCCTGAAAAGCTCACTTATTGGGAAGGCTTTAATCTTAATACTCTTTGCTCAACAGAGATTAGTCTCAAGTTTAAAGTAACTTGAGAATATTTTGAGTTTATATAAAAAAAAAAAGTACATACAAATTAAGGTTTAATAGTTATGTTTTTAATTTGATGTTATTTATGGCAGAAGAAGTAGTGTCAAAGTTGTTGGCAAAAAACTCATCAGTAGTAAAAGAAGCAGATGAAAATGGTTGGGTGCCACTTCACTTGGCGGCACTTTACGCAACTTCAGATATGATAAGGGTGTTATTAGAGAATGACAGGAGCACAGCATACATGAGAGATAAGAAGGGAAGGACAGCTCTTCACTTTGCAGCACTTCATGAAGATTCATCTGTAATGAGAAAGCTATTAGAATTTTGTCCAGATTGTTGTGAATTGGTGGATGAAAAGGGCTCTAATGCTCTTCACTACACTGCAATGAGAGAAGACAATTACCTTTCTGGAGGACTAGAACAGATCATGCAAAATGCACCACAAATGAGCAACTTGTACAATGAGAAAAATGATGATGGAAACACACCTCTTCACCTCCTTGGCCGTCATGCTCCCAAATGGAAAAAGGATGCCAATCGTTATAATCATCCTTTTCTAGAACCACTTCCAAGAGTGGACAAAATGGCATTCAATAAATACAATCAAACTGCTCTCGATATTGCTATTGATGCTGTGCCTCCACATTTAGCTTCCAAGGTAACAATATATGAATTCATTCATTTATGTTGATATTCCAAATCTATCTTTTTGCTAAATACCATGGTACGGACTTATATATGTTGATTATGACCCCATTTGAAATGACACTTGAAATCACTTATAAATAAGTTTCACGTAAGTTGAGACAAAACTCTTGCACATATTGATATCTCATATTCTGTAAATCATAATTGAAAAGTTATTTATAAACTATTTCAAATAGGTCTTATTTGAAGTTGTTGTGGGCTGAATCCGGTTAGAAACAAAGATAACAATACCTTACATGTTGGATTGTTGGCTACGTGGTGCAGAACACAATGTTAATGAAATTGATAATTATTGGAGTAAAGTCAGGAAGACGGCTTTTGGATAGGCACCTTAGAGAGAAGAAACATGATTTTGTAGTTGGTGAAGAGAAGAAACAATATAAGGAAAATAATAGTGAAGATGATTCAGCTGAAATGGCAAGAAACTACTCAGTAGTGGCAACTTTAATCGCAGCAGTAACATTTGCAGCAGGATTCACAGTGCCTGGGGGAGAGATCCAAGATGGAGAAGATAAGGGCTCCCCCATATTAAAGGCAAATGCGGCTTTCATTGTGTTTTTTATAGCAAATAGTCTCTCATTCTTTTGCTCTACTGTAGCTGTTGGTGCCCTATTTTCGCTGCCACTTGTAAAATATAGTAAGTCAATGCTGCTGCAATGCTGTGAGATCTTAATTTGGATGGCATTATTTTTCATGATGGTTGCATTTATAACGGGCACATATTCTATGACGGGTCCCTCTCTTTTAGCTGCTATCTACATCTCTATCATGGCTGTTGGAGCCGTCATTGTCTGTTGTGCACTTTGCAGAATCGGTAGGTTTGAAGTGAGAAGCCAAAACAGTTGGTATAATCGATTGTATTTTGTTCCTGATTGCCGTTTTGAGAGAGCAAAAGAAGTTCAGCTCTCACATACTCTCTAATCATTGTACTTAGATGAGATGAAATCTGAGACGCTTTTTGTTTATTTTATCCTTTTTTTTCTTTCATTTTAATTTTGTCATAAAAATAGGGAGGCATCATTGCTGTACAACCCTAAATTACAAACAACATAAAGATGTGTTGCATTCATGAATTACAATTGGTCCATACAATCTAATATGTTTAATTTGAAAGACGGTTTTGGGAGATATATTATGAATTAAAATACAATTTTATATGTTGCCTGCTTAATACTAAGCATATTTAGTTTTGGCAACATTTAGCATGTAGGTCCCACAATGAAATTATTTTTAGAAAAATCAAATACTGGTTCAAAGTTCAAACCTTACACTAATCAAATATGGAAATGAAACCATACTATCATTGACTATTATATAAACAAAGAGAAGAAAATATTACCGGGCCAAGACTCGTATGACACCCAATAATACAAGAAATTAACACAAATAATAGGGCCAAAATGCAGTGGTCTGAAAACCCAAAGCATAACATCCCCTCATGGCATTAAAAACCGGAACGAACTAGCCAATACAGACTAGAAACCAACAAACTGGCTACTTGTCTGCTCCGATTATTGTATTAAATCAGAATAGATTTGAACTGGAGTGAACCGTTTTGGATCAGTGTGACTAGGACATAAACCAACTAACCCACTGGGTTCAATGGATTGCTCGAGTTATTTTTTTCATCCTCCTAACTGGGCATGATACCGTTATAAGGAGGGGGGAAAAAAGCTTGAAAGAAGACTGAAAGAGAGAGAGAGAGAGAGAGAGAAACGTTATAAGGAAGAACAAACCTTAAAAAGATAAAGAATAATGATGAAAAAAATTACCTAGCATGGAATAGATCAGATTTTGATGAAGAGGACAACAAAAAACCATTGATGAGAGGAAAATGAAATGCCGAGTAGGGCTACAGAGTAGAAGACGGAAGAAAGCGAAGTGAAGCTAAAAAGGAAGAAAAAGTAGAATTAAAGAGGGTGAAAAGGCATAGGGGATCAAAGGTTGCCTAGTTGCCTGAAAAGATGGAGTAGGTCTGTGCATTGGGAGAAAACAAAACTTTGAAAAAGTCATCTAGAAAAGCTCACAAATCACGGGTTTCCATACATAACTGAATCCATAGGTTTAAGACTAGTGCAAAAAAATTATATATATATATATATATATATCAGAATTTCTTTTTTATTTATTCCTATACGTTTTGATTTAATTTCTAACAGTTTTAAAGGTAATATAAAATCTATGTATATTATAGATTCTTCAAAATAAAAATCTTTAATGATATTAGTCTTTATTAATGAAAAAAGTTTAACAATCTGATCATATTAATATATATTGCCACCTATTTTTATTATTAATTAAAATTTACTTTTATATAATGTTTTATTCTCATTATTTTATCTAAAATATTTATTATATTATTAAAAATTATATTATTTTAATTATACTAGTTTGATTTCGGTTTGACCCATACTAAAAAGACCTAAGTTTTCAAAATTTGAGTGAATTGTGTTAGAAGTTTATAGAATTTGAAAATCTCGCTTCTAATATTCTAAAATATTTATTTAGGTGCATCCATTACTTTAAAATATTTTGTGGTTATCTTGTACTTCAAAATATTTTTTGAATGTATCCAACACCCTAAATTTGCTATTAAAAAATACTTTAAAATACTGTATATACATTTACTTAATAGGCTTTTTAGGAGTTAACAATGAGTTTAAAATTGCACCTAAAAAATGCTTTAATGACAATATTATTCGTAAAAAAATGACACTTAAGGGCAAAATATTGAATTACAAAATACTTCAAAACATTAAACACATCCAGAAATATATTTTAGGACATTAGATGAACTACAAAATACTTTAAAATATTAGATACGTTTAAAAAAAATACTATTGGATGAAACTTAAATCATTTTAATATATCTTTTATATTTTTTGGTGACTTACTCAAACTCGCAAGGTATTCTTCAAATGAAAGAATTTGAATCCTAACAATTACTTATTTACGTAATTCGAGTTTGATAAATTTTTGAGTCATGCACTATCTAGACAACCTAAAGCAAGGTTGATTTAATAACGAATCCGATTTCTCTATTTAGTTAAGTTGCAATCACAATCTTATTTTTAAATGATTCGGGTCAAAGAAAGGAGCTGACGTTCAATTAGCTAATAAGTCGTGTTTGGCAAAAATTTAAAACACATTTTTGAACAAGTTTAAATAAATAATCCAATTTGTCTGCCCCCCACAAAACATATCAGAAAAATTATGTGTTCCAGCATTGCTTGTTTTTGGCTCTTTCATTAAATTGGCATAATTAATCAAGAGGGGAACTTAATCCCAGGTTCTAATATGAGCAGGACACACATCTATGAGAAAAGAAGCTCGTTAATCCCATCTTTGCTAAAGAATCAGCCACTCTATTTTGCTCTCTCCTTACATGCTGAACTTGTAACACCCAAGAAGATTCCATCATGTTTCGAATCTGAGAAAGCATCAAGCTATAGATTTGTTGTTTATCCTTTGATAGCAGCATGTCAATTAGAATATTACCATTTGATACAAGAATTATTTTCTTGAATACTAAATCCCAAGACAATCTTATCGGGCTATGGGCTTAGATAGGCCCAATTTGAAAAACAAAGCCCAATTTGAAAAACAAAGTTATGATTGTGCGATTAGTTGAATGAATTGAATGCAATATTTTAAAGGGTTAACACTTTAAAATATTTTGTCAAGTACAGTATCTTAAAATATTTTATAATGAATCTAATATTCTAAAACATGTTTTTAAGTGCATCCAGTATCTCAAAATATATTGTGATGTAATTTTGCTCTTAAAGTATTTATTTTTTTCAAAATTAGTTGTGCTTTTAAAGTATTATTTCATGAGTAGCTTTGGTGCCATCACTAACTCCTCAAAAAGTTCGTTAAATAAATGTATATTAAGAACTATAAAGTATTTTTTAGGACACTGGATATACTTTAAAAAAAGAATTTAAGATATTGAACATACCACAAAATATTTAAAGGCAGTGGGCACACTTGAAAAAAAATACTTAATGGTACCAGATGTATTAAAAAATATTTTAGAGTATTGAACATATCTGGCAAAATACTTCGTGGTGTTGGATACATCTTAGCCTATTTTAAAAGCTGAATAGCATGTAGAGCTAGGAAAAATAGCTGTTCATGATTTCTATGATCCAACACTGATAGCTGAATAGGCGTACGTGGTTTTTTTTTTAAAAAAAGGGGAGATATTTCTTTAATCTGGATAAAGCAGCAGGGTCATTATTATTATATTTTACTCGTAGTAAAAATATAACAGTATTCTAAAAAGATAATAATTGCAACGGTGTGCTAAAAGCATGATAGATGCAAAGAGCAACAGTCAGAAAAGGAAAATACTCCCAAGGCAGTCGCATTGAGTAGCCAACAATGGTCACAGAGGCCAGAGAGAAGAAGAGTCTTTGAAAATTACAGAATTTCGCCCACGTTACAATGCCTTCACCCCCGCTGAATATCTCTCGGCAGAATTGCAATCTGATCCTAGGAAAAGAATTTAATTATTCTAAAATTTGTTGGCAATCAAGGAGTGTGTAATAATAGGTTGGGTATTAAAATTAAAAAAAAAAAAGACAGATAGTCTATATTGTTCAGTTATCATTAAAATTTTTTGTCGAGACCTCATGGTCATTCTCCAATATTTGTGGCTACTCCAAAGCCCAACAGTCCATTTAGCGGCCCTTTTCTCATCCTTCCCATTAGTCTCTAAATGGGATCTGCGATCCATATGATTATTGGGCCTATTCATGCCACTTGGCAAAAAAACATAAAATTCTTACTTGGAATCAATCTCAGTAAATTGTTACAAATTATTATTAACTTTTTTTTAAAAAAATACTCATCCGATTCTTAATATAAAATTTATTTTATAATACAATTTGTATTACAACATAAATCTTATAATAAGAATTGGAAGAATACCAAACAGTGTCTAAATTCATATTTATCATTTTCACTACAAACTAAATTTTATACTCAACACCAAACATAGTACCATATATTCCACTATCTTTAATATAGAATATAGTTGAGGATAGGATTTTATTCTGAATATAAAAAATAATTTTATTTTATCTCTCATATTTATTATTTTTACTTCAAACTAATTTATTTAACTTATAAATTAATATATAATCTAATACTATATAGGAGTATTATAGGAAGAGATCATGCTCTATGTCTATATTATAATTAACTAATTTACCTTCATTTATTTAAATCAATCGAATAAATATTACATCAAACTTCAGAGAGAATAAGTATCAGTTGAAAGTTTACACCGTCAACTTGAACCCGCACCCTATTTGATAGGAACAACTGCCAAAGCACACAAATGATGTAATATAATGCGCATGTTAATATTTGTACTATCAGTGTAGTAAATGTCTAAATAAAAGAGTGATAAATTTCAGGCTAAAAAAATCAATGGATAATAAATAAGGAAATTTTACAAAAAATTGAAATCAAACATTTATTATTAATATCATGAATAAATTAATTTATTCTTAAAAACATGATATTTGAAGTTAGTTAAATAAAGGAGATGAAAAAGAAATATAAGAGAATATAAAAATACCTCACTAATAGAATATTGATACTAATGATAATTAGGGTTAATATAATTTTTGGTTTCTTAAGTTTGTCTTTATTTTAATTTTAATCTCTTAAATTTCAAACCGTAGGTTTCGATCCTTTAAGCAACAAAATGGTCTTATTTTTATTAGATTATAGGAATATTTTAAATAAAAAACTGAAAGGACTAAAACTTATATTTTAAAACTTGAGGAATAAAAATAAAAATAAAAAAATTTAAAGGATGAAAAATTACTACAAAGAATTTTCTACGTTGATTCAACGTGAGTTGCCCACCATAATCATCAAAGATGGGCCGAACTCATCAATGGCCGAACTTAAAAAAAAAAAAGAAAAACAGCAGCATGGTTTTAGGTT